TTTGAATTATGTTATTGTTATTGTAATTTTTATACTTAAAAAAATTGATTGAGAAGTAAGTTGTAATTATATTAAATCTAGCTCATATATGTTTTTAATTATTTAACATAAATATAACTAAATTTGAGTGTATACCAATAAATTAAAAAAAAAATATTTTTGAATTATGATTCTCATAACTTTTTTAAAATGTTTTATATTATTAATTACTTAATTTATAACAATATATAAAGAGTATATACCCCTTTTTAGTGTCACTTTTTTTAAAGATAATTATACTGTTATATTTTTTTTTGTTGCTAATTTATATTTAAGAATAAAATAGAAAAACATATATACAAAAATATTTACTTTAAATAATAATAACTACCTACTTTTTTTATGAAAATACTATTTATTTTATTATTTTCATAGTGTTTTTTTCTCTACTAATAAAATATAATATGCATCTGATCATTTTATCTCAATAATTAATTTATTTTGGTGTAGACATATATAGCATGTTATCTGATCACACACACACACACACATACACACATACACACATATATCACTTAATTATATTAACACACACACACACACACACACACACACACATATATATATATATATATAAGTGATTTGTAATGTACGAATTTTTATTATTTATATATACTTTATTTTAGTTATATCATTATTCAATATAAAATTTTTAATACATTTCCTCACATTTTGAGTGTAACATTTATAAAACTCTAAATATATAAATGCACTTAATACCAGAAAAATTTGATAAAGGGTAATACAATAAATTCAACAATAAAATATTAATATAAACTTTAATATAAATCTTAATTAAGAATACTTAAGTGTCACTCTCCTTCTTTGTATGATACTCTATATATAGTTAACTTGGCCGGTTCCCTCTAGCATTTAATATTGCATTTAAGTTTTATCTAAAAATAAATATATTATCCATTATCTTGTCAACACATTTCTAAAAAGTGAAGAAGACGAAAGGGAGGATTTATTTTATTATTTATTTTCAAAAAATTTTAAACAAATTTTACATTAAATTATTAATTATAGTCATTTTTTAACTAAGTTATTTAATTTTACTTTTTATAATCATTTTATTATTATTTTTATACTGAATTTAAATTTATTCCGTAACAGTAGACGGAACGGGCCGTTTCAAAAGTGAAACGGGCCGTTCCGGAATAACAAAAATGCCCTATATTGGAGAAGCAGAACGGGCCGTTCTGCTGGTTATGAGAACGGGTCGTTCTGCTTCTCCAGTTTTGGGCATTTTTCTTATTCCGGAACGGCCCGTTTCACTTTTGAAACGG